CCCGTCAATATTAAATCCATGGGCAAAACATTTTGAGGTGGGGGGAGATTCTTTAAAATTTACCGTAAGTTCCATGGAGTGGTCGAATGAACATAACACGGAGCACAAGTGCCACAATCAGCGCCCGCTGTGTTTTCCAGTTTGTGATGGCCATCTTGCCGGCCTGCCTGACGAATTGCGGCCCTCTTCCAAATTCCAAATTCAATTTAACAGTCCACGAGTGAAATGTATTCCACCTCCTTTCAGTGCACGGAATCACCTACCGTATTCCGAATGCTGTGCATTTTTCCAATTCAATGTGGGCAGGGTTCTTCTCTCTCGCTGGCCGGTCAGATCGCTTGATTGGTTAATTTCCCGCCAGGTGATTTATGCTCGTCAAAAACCGTACAGCTTAATCTTCATGATAACGTATTGTTGTGCGTTTTGGCCTTCCCTGGAAGTTTTCCAAGCAAGTAAGGACCCCCAACGTCGCGTGAAGGGGCACGTTATGCGGTTGTACATAATGCATGTCATTTTTTATGCACGGCTGATGAGTGACTAGTAAAACTGGGGTTTTGATTGGTACACTTTTATTGTCCAATGTGGAACGCGGCGATAATCCAGATTATCTTGAGAAATCTCGGGACATCATTAATATTTCGCAGTAAGGCCATCTGTTAGAAGTTTTCGTCAAACTTCAAATATTTAATTGTTTGTTCCCATGAGCGAGACCCTCAACACTAAATCTTCTCAAAGATGCTGATGGAAAGAATAATTTTAAGTGATCCATGGAATGAAACATTTCGTATGTTACTTTATGGAATTATTCATTTTGCTCGCAAGAAAACGACGCTCGGAATGCCTGATCACTCATTACAAATAAAAAGACATTATGGGCTAAATGCCCCCAAAAGAAATCTCTACATCACCTATGCATTTAGAAATTTCTTGTGAATATGGAATACAAATTTTTCACGCAAGGTAAGCTTCTATTCCAAATACAGATTAAGCATACATCAAGACTGCCTGTCCATCACTGCATAACATTTCGAGGGCAGCTAACGTTGGAAGGCATCTTTTATAGAAATATATATTACGTTCTCTGGTAAAGCTTCAGGTAATTCTCGTCAATTATTACTATTATTTTGCTTTTGAACTAACGCCAGCTTGCATATACCAACAACTGGTAGGCAAAAGCTTTGGCCGTGACGAAGAAGAAAGGTTTAGACCGGTAGGCAAAAGCTTTGGCCGTGACGAAGAAGAAAGGTTTAGACCGGTAGGCAAAAGCTTTGGCCGTGACGAAGAAGAAAGGTTTAGACCGGTAGGCAAAAGATTTGGCCGTGATGAAGGAGGGAAAGGTTTAGACCGGCAGGCAAAAACTTTGACCGTGACGAAGAAGGGAAAGATTTATGGATAGTTGAGTGTAAGTCAACCTACGCAACAAAGGGTCACACACAAAGTACCCCTGTAGTAGAAAAAAATCCAAAAGGAGTCAAAGAAATAGCAATAAAGGAGTGACAACTTTTCTCCAAACCATGCGACTCAATAGAACATTGCTAAAAATTCAATATAGTTCAAATAGAAATCGAAAAACGCCCAAAGTGCATTATTCC